AATAGCAGCACTTACACCCTCTGTGCAGGACCCACTCTGGTGTTGGCTTTACACAAAGTCATGTAGCATGTAGCAAAACCACAGATCAAGATACGAATTTTACATGGGCAGTATAAAGACCCCATGGCACTGGCACAAACACCCTGAGAATGAACCAGTTGCTCTGGTTAAGACGAGGTTTGTGACAAACCTGCAAATGCTGTCTGACATTTCCAAAGCTTTGATCGTGATTGCACCATTCACAATCTGACCAGAGAAAACACAGCTGCCCGTGGCTCCTGGAGGCACTCGCTCCTTTGCCTAGGGAAAGAAATGCACAAGGTCCAACTAGCAATTCCAAATCCAGGCCTAGTCTGCAGGTAAATCTCAGATCCTTGTAACAGCAAGGGTGGATATTTTACAAGAATAGCACTATTATTGCCAAAATGCCAGGAAAAAGCAGCATAACTCCTTGCTGGCCATATTAGAAGGGGCTGTACTGACACAACTGTATCCACACTGGGACATAGTGCTGCATAGGCAGAACAAAGCTTGTGCAGTCTGCCTTCCCCAGAGGAAGGGCCTTTCCAAGGAAGACAGACTTGCTGTTTGGCCTGCATAACAACGCTTCAAGGGAGAAACTCGAGGCAAGTAGAAACCCTGAATTCTTCAGCTCATGGCCATCTCCTAGCCGATATTGTCAGAAGACAAAGGGAACAAACTTGGTAAACTCTTCACCCTCCCTTCCCACTGCAGGTAACAAGCCAGTGCTAAGCACCCCACACAGGACCCTATGGCTCTCCCCTGCTCACCCATGATGTTCCGTTTGCTCTGAGTTGCGGTTTTTATCCTTAACATGTTCCCAATCCCTCCTGCCCCTTCTGCAAGAACCAAGATACGCTCTGACAGCAAATATCTTTGTGTGATGTTTTTTTGCTCAATGGATCATGTGGCAAAGACAGTGCAGAAGCATCACCCCCGGTTCACCTCAGAGCGATTGGCCACTTGCACAACATCCAGGGTTGCACAGACCCTGTGACGAGATCAGAGCTGATGGGGGAAGGTGGAGTATACACAGCTGGTTGCCACACCATTTGGTCAGTTAGTTTCTACCCAATAGCCTACTTTAAAGAACAATGCTGAACTGGAATAGGAATGAACACGCAGCTGTGGGCTTAAAAAGAGAGCACTCTGCTATTTACAAAGGCTGTATTCACCTTTGAGGATAAGATGCACTCTGTCCACATCTGCTGTCAACCAGTCTGGGATCTGGAGAGGCAGTAGCTACACTCGTTCCTCCCCTGGGACACCAAGGGGACTGTGGCAAGGCTACTGCAAAGCCTTGCCGGAGGGACAGCTGTGACATAGACTGCCCTCGCTCAGGAATACCAGAGAAAGGAGTCTGGCTGTTATTTTAGGCATATCATAAGCAATTAGGAGTTTGATGAGCTGTGGAGACAATGAGCCCCTCTGCATCAGCAGAGGGAAAGATATTCTGCTGCTTTATTTGCGTGCTTTCAAGGGTAACCCTTCCAAAACCGCTATTGCTCTCCCGAGCCACGCCACACCCGAAGGGGACACGGCCCGGGTGGCCCCAAGGCGAGCTCCACTGCGCCGCCCCAGCGCCATCTGCCGGCCACGGGACGACGCGGTCGAGGGGTCTCAGGGGCTGCAGCACCTTCCCCCCCACCCCGGTCCCGGCCCTGCACTTACCGCTCGCCCCTTAGATGAGCTGCACCGCTCCCGAGGCCACCAGCGGGGCAATGGTCTTGTATCGGATCAGATGCTGCGAACCCTCCTCCAGGTCGATGGTGTACTCCCTGCCAGAGAGAGAGATGAAATTAGGGGGCCTCTCCTCTTTCGTGGAAATCCACACCTCTTCTGTGAAACTTATTTACGTGCGCCACATGGGGAAGCACCCACCTACCTCTCCTCATCCATCTCTGGCTCGACCAGAATGTTCTCCTGCCGCTCCAACACCCGCAGGAACACAAAGCAGTCCAGGTTGGGCTTCGGAACTGCAGACAACGGATTCAGAGCACAATCTCAGCACTCGCTGATGTTCCTCTGCAGGACATCGAGCTAACAGAGGGGTACGAGGGACAGCAAACCCACAGCCAGTAAAGGGAACACTAGACATTTCTCATCAGATGTAGCGTGCATTGCCTCAACGTAACACAAGACTGGATGGCAGGGGCCAGCACGATCCTCTGACAGCAGCACCAAGCCACGTACAACACAGCAGAGCAGTGTTATGACACTGTCATCAGGTCATCTTTGCTTCTACTGAGCGCCAGCTGGAGGACTAGCCCTTAACATTTCATGCTCCCCGGAGCCTTCCCCACATCCCTGCTGCTACAATTTTCAGATTACCCTGGAGTCTGAACATACTCACCTGATTTTAGGAGAGACACTTTCTGCAGGTTGGGTGGCATGTGTTTTAGGGCCACGTTTTTCAGATAAGTCTCTGTGTTTGCCATATACCTGAAACAAACCATTGGAGCATTTACTGGTTTAATCAAATAAAAATCTGCAGTAAGAGTAGACTCAAAACGACAGCAAGCAACATGTCCTGGTCCCGCAGGTATTGCCAGAGACAAGCCTAATGGTTTTAGTCAAAACCAGGACACTCTGGTAACTGCCTCAGAGTTACCAGAGTTATTTGATTTTTTTTTCCCTGTCTATAAGGAAACTTACTGGTAAAACCTGTGATTCTTACTACAAACCTGTCTAAGGCTAACACAGTCTCAAGAACTTGTCAGCATAACACACAGGTGAGTTCTATAAAAAGGGAGGGAGATGCATCCAAAACCTACTCACTCTTTAGCAAAAGCAAACTCCTCCGGTGATAGAATGGAAGGCTCCCCTTCAGCTCGAGACTTCTCCTTCTCCAGGACATGGGGGAAAAACTTCTCTATCTGATATTGGAACAAAATCCCAAAGACAGAAACAGATCTCTCCCAATAGTTCAGTACCTACAGTCGCCCCTCTCCAGAGGTTTCCCTTAAAAGCACTAGTCCACTGCTCCAGAGGAGTATGCAGCAGCTCCAGGCCTGCCCAAACACCTGCTCCTGATTTAATAGCAATATGGTCAGCTGGGGTCTCCAAGCTGCACAACCATATGTGTAGGTGACAGGACGCAGGCAGAATGTGCAAGCATTCAATTGTGCCATTCTGGGCTTATAGGAGGCAAGAAAACACTCATAGCAATGCTGTGATCCTCCTTCATCACAACAGAAAAGCATGTCCAAGGAATTAATTCCCTTGGGTTGCACTTCAGAGAACAGAGAGAGCGAGCGCCTTAACTAAGTGCCTTGCTGAAGCAGGAGGTCTTGTATGGGTAAAAATCACTCCTAATGTCGCCCTTTTTCATCCCCTGGGCAGCAAAACATATATTACCTTCACAAGCCTACAGCGCAAGTAGCTGCTGAGCACGTAACGGATCCTTTCAATCTCCATGTGGTGAATGCTGACCTTCAAGTCCCCCTTCTTTGACCGTTTCAGGTTTGCCTCCTGCAAGGAAAGGCAAAGGAAAATTAAACAGCTGAAGTGTCAAAAAGCAAGAAACACAGAGAAAGATGGGTTTTGTACATAGAAACCACAAAAACAGCCTGCAGTTGCTTTTGGTGACACAAAGCACACTGTTTCCTTGTATCTCCTAGTCCCCTCTCCCAAGACAAGCTCAAAGAAAGTACTCAAAACAGCCTTATCTCAGGGACAGAGGAGCAGACAATCCTGGCAATCCCAGAGGGACCCAAGCAGAAAACTGCCAGGATAGGTAACCAGAGCCTGCCTGTACCACCACCTTAGCCCAGCAGAACCTACCATATGGTCCAGCTGCTCCACAACACACTCAATGATCTCAGGTTTGCTCTCCAGCAGCTCTGGAGCAAACTTCTCATTCAGCCAGGCCTGAAAGAAGACACACTCTAAGCAGAAGCCAGCAATGCCCCTGCTATACACCCCAGCCCCCAGAGAAACCAGAAGCACAGCCCTCCCCACCTACACCGGCGGGCCCAGGGGCTCGGCCCCCAGCCGCCCCACATCAGGGCCCAGCTTTCAGTCACCTCCGCCTCTATCTCCCCAAGGTGCCCAGAGGCCCAGCCCTCACTACCTGCTCCAGGCTGCGGATGAGCTGCGCCGGAGTGAGCACCAGATCCTCACTGCCCCCATCCGAGTCCCCCTCCGTCCTCTCGCCGCTCGCAGCCGCCATCCCGCTACAACCTCCCGCCAACAGCTAGGGCCGTCCGCGCATGCGCGGCTCGCCCCACTGCGCAGGCGCCCTAGGCAGCCTGGCTACACCCCAATGAGATTGCGCCTGGGCAGCCTACGTGGGCTCCTCTGCGCAGGCACCCGTCGCGGCCTAGCTCATCCCTCGCACTGCGCAGGCGCCTCCGCCCGAGAATAGGCAGGCGAAAGCCAACAGTTTTGCTTGGCCAGGCTGCTGAAAAACAAAGCTGTATTACGTGTGGAAGAAACGCTTGCAGCTTAGGAACTGATCTTGAAATGATGCTAGCTCTGTTTATTCCCTGCCACTGTAGGAGTAAAAAGCTTACTGATAGTGCTACTTCATGCAAAGCAGCGCTATCAAATACGACACAGACACAGTTTAAGAAAAAATTTACTAATCCATTAGTACTTCTGCCAATATTGCAACAGATGTGAAAGGCAAACACTGTTACAGTTTAGAAAAAACAAGTTTTATACAATTAAAATATTCAACAAATCTCAAAAAAAATCAGTGGCTGAGTAATAAGCCTGGAATTTCAGATCCAGTATTAGCACCTACAGTACCACCAAAAGCCAGACACTTCATCTGTTCTGCGTAAGTCTTCTCCTTTTCTAAATTCTTGAATTCTCTCTACAATTAGACAATGACACTCAGAACCTAAACCAGGACATCCTTGCTTTGATAAGGGAAAAGGGTAAGAGAAAAATATTAAGCCAGCTTGGTTTGTAGGAACTTTACTTGTGCAGGAATTGCTGAGGAATGTCGATGCATGGGGGATACTAAATAATGCACAGTTCTACTTTTCAATAGAGTGCCAGCAGATGGAATTAAGAAACCATCTTACACAATATCTAACAGTTTGTCAAATCAATGCTTTCCTATAAATTATATATAATAAATCCATAAAGAAACAGTTTTACACTTCACATATTAATCAGAGTAGGGTAGGAATTGTTATGTTTATTGGTTCAGCATCCATTTTATTGTACTTACTGTTTTATGAATGAATACACCCCCCTCTTCTGGTGAGCACTGACAGATGCAATAACAGCACAGATACAGCAGTAGAAAAAACACCAGTATTAAAGTCCGGCTATTCCTCCCCCTTCTAGGAAGAACCAAAACATTAAACAAGTAACACTTTGCCTTCTGGTTTTCCATGAGAATCAGCACAGGAAACATAAAATGCTTGGTGCCTTGAATCACTTCTCGCCAGGCAGAGGCACTGTGTAACCCCTCACTCCAATACTGAACTGGAGGGAAGGCCTTGTTTCTGGAAAATTCCCAACTCTGACTTGTAGCTTTCCAAAGCCTGATTGATGTACAGAAGGGTTTAAGAACTAGGGAGGAACAGCACTGCACTTATGTGACTAGAACTAGACTTCTGTTGGGCCAAGTGCCCCGTTTTTTTCAAAAGAGTACGTAGCTTTACCACTTCTGCTTTTTCTTGGAAAACAAACAAACAAACAAACTAAAAAGTGATCTCATTGCTTAAAAGTTTGCCACAAAATGGATGCTGACCAGCTAGGTCACCCCATGTGGAACAGTTTTAGGAAGTTAGTCCTTGTAGTAGATGGCACTGTGGATCTGGCAGCAGAGAAAGGAATGATGCTCTAAAGTAGGAGGTAGGGGAACTTTGATACAGCAAGTCCACTGTTGAGCTATCTGCTAGAAAAGAAGTTTCATATTATTAGAAACTATTACTAAATAAAACCAACAAAACTCTACACAAAATAGATATATTTTGTTATCTTAGGAGGTACGTAGCAGGAAAGGTAGGGTTACCATGTGCTGTGGTAAGAGTAGCAGGAACAGAAGCCAACACTCTGGATTTCATTACTCTAGCAGGAAATAAAGACCTTTACTTCTTTGTTTCTTTCTGCATAAGAGGCACAAATATTTCCAATTTCTTTTCTGCACACATTGCCAACAATCTAGATGTGGACTACCATCTCAGGATTTGCAAAGTACCCAAGACAAGGGAGCCAAATTTGATCTTTTCAAAAGCAAAGCTTAATGAAAGTTCAATAGGTATTTTGGAAACTCAGGGATAGTAATTTTGCAGTTCTATACTGCATGCAATTAGCATGATCCTTTATTTTAGCCTCTCTCTTTCAAGTACTCTGAGCATTCTTTTTACTTCATGACTCTACCACACAGTATCATAAAAACTAAGTGCCTTTCAGCAACTTTTTCTAGTTAAAACTACCAGAGCCAGAGGTTGCTGGCCACTCTTAACTGAAAGCATCACGAGTAAAGATACCAAAGTAAGAACTGGAGCAGCATCCAGCTGAAAGACTGCAATTAAAAGTTGTTGTATGCTAGAATATGCTCAGGGACAGAGTCAGGCAAAGTTTTTTCCACTTAAAACTACTGAGTAGGATAAGAACTCAAATACAGTAGCAGATCTCAGAGTTCCTCTGAATTTACACAGCTGTTGCAGAGACCATTAGAAGTCGTAAGATATGGCACCTACTCCTAGCCAGAGTCATATCCTCTACCACTACACAGCACAGAAAGACAGTCCACATTTTGTAGAGCCCACACAGGCTGCATTCATGAACAGATCATCCAGGACAGTGTGCAGGCTCCAAACGACTAGGAGATGAATATCTAATAAAGCTCCAGTTCCAGCCAAGGCTTATTTGGATACTCATACTGCTTTCAGAACAGATGTTTACTGACCACAAATATTTGCAATTCATCAAACTATCCAGAACTGATACAAGTCTTTCTTCATTTTAGACATTTCAGTTGTTTGAACACTGACAGAAATAGCTTTTATGTAATTGCTCAAAACCCACATCACCTAGGAAAACATTCTGCAATAATCGCTGTGAAATGAGTCATGACAAATGGCTTGTGCCAAATATATGCAGATGCAGTTGATAAAACACAAACTTATTCCAACAGCAGAACACAAGTGCCATGCAATACACAGATTCCCAAGTGCTAATAACCAGATAAAGAAGGATATTTTGAGACAGAATTGGCATCTGCAAGTGATGCCAAGTTGCAAGCCAGAGTTGTTTAGAAACAGGTAAGCGCCAGCAAGAATCTTCACCGTTTTGCTTTACCAGAACTTCTTGTCATGGTTTGTTCCAGCTTGTAGTAGATTAATCTGGTTTATATGCACTGTAAATATGGGTCAATCATAAGCAGACTACCAAAAGAGAAGTCCTAGAGACATGTAGCAGAGGCAGGTTAGAAAATAATTTAGTAATACTACCAAGTATAGTACTTGCATTTTCCCTTTAGGCTGTACAAGATCTGACTCTTAGAATATGCTATATTCTAAGATTCAGGACAGCAGATAAGATATTCTGCATGTATAAAGTATCTTATCAAATGTTTCTGACCAGAAGAGGTTTGGAAGAATCCCACCACTTGGCACATGAAACCAGAGTGCCACCCCAGGCAACAGCAGTCCCTTCTGGAACAGAAAAGCTGCCATTCAACAGTATATAGAAGTGAATCTTCTATATACTTAGAACCAAAAAGGTAAAATGTAATTACTCATATTGATTTGTTCAGGATTCTAGGGCTAATAATTCTGGGGCAAAATATAAGGGGACTCTTAACATGCTGTGGTTATGACCTTGATTTCACCAGTGCTCAAAACACAGAAGCTTTTAAAATAGACCCTGGTCTAGAGGTACCACAGAAAACATTTGAAAGGAAAAGCTGTATCTTTCACAGCAGTATAGGAAGAGCAGGTGCTAGTATAGTACCATCAATGATTTTTCTTGAATATTTCTCTCATGCTATTAGTATGAACACTCTCTGGAAATCCAAAATAAGCATTTAAATAGTGACCTATTTCGAAGTCTTGATTTAAGGGTTAGTCTTAAGTTTGTCTGCTCAGAACCTTATGGTTCTCATATATTCTCATGAAGAAAGGCTTCATAAGAACAACAACAACAACAAAAAAGATTCTTTTATCTACAGAACAGAGAACAATTTTGGACATAATAAAGCACAAGTTAGGCTTATGCATATTTACACAATCAAGACCTGAATTTCTCTAAAGGTAAATCTGGTATCATCCGATCTGTATTAACATTCAGTGGCATAATGCCAAGTATTGATATTTCTGTTTATTCAGAAAAGCTGGTCCACACAAGATTTATGTGAGTGGCCTTTGATTACACACAGTGGTGGAATAAATATTCTGTCTCAGTATGACAGAATCCACCCTTCTAAGCATAGAAAACAGGTTGAGATTGATGTAGTATAAGGTTAACATGTACCTGAGACTCCACAGTTTTATCTTCCGCTGGTCATACCTCTGTCTTCATAAATGGTAATTTCAATCTGCATAGAAAAGTTGCTAGGGAAACATACTACAAAAAGATTATGAAAACATAACAAAAAAAGGGCAGAAAAACATTAAGATGTTAGAACCTTTGACCGTTCTGTTTCATACCTGCTGTTTCAAGGCTAGCTTCAGAGCTACAAAGAAAACAGAACTGCACACGTAAGAGATGCCCTGTGAGATCAGTGGTTTATCCAGCCCAGAACCTTTCTGACAACAAGAGAAGATGCTGTCTATGGAGGGTTTGTGAGTCTTGCCACCTTCTGTAAAATTTCAGGAAAGGCTATGCACCAGACAAAAGTTAATGCTTCTACAGTTCAGCTACTAAGTCACTAACCAAACTGAAAATGCTTTTGCTCAAGTTGAATGTTTCTTTTCCAGGAGGTGTATGTACAGAAAAATGCAGAAAACATATTGAAAATAATGAAGTCATGTAGGTGACAGCTATAAGCTATTTAGACAAATACACAGATAATCCAACTGCAAGGAATTAGCCTAAGCATGCATTTAGTTGGCACTCCGTGTTTCAAGTTGCTCTGGTTTCAATATTCTCAAAAAATGACACGTTGCTCATTCTACCTCTAGATTTGCTATGCAAGGTCTTTACAACTAGATAAAATACCTGCAGTCAGGTTCAAGAATTGAAGAAAAAAAAGGTTGAAATAAACCATGCTTGAACCAAGAACAAGTGCTAGGCTGGTATCAACTTACAGTGATGTCATATGGCAAAATCTTCACCAGAACCTGAGCTGAGGGTTGCAAATTAAACAGCAGCCATCTCTTGCCTTCACATCATCAATTTCTATTCTACCAAGGTGGTCAGTCTTGTTTTGTTCAATTGAACAAATTGCATTGTTAGAGGTCACTGAAATTTAGGAGGCATCTAAAGTGTTGGAATTACTCTGTTTATACATATTGTGTTTTCAAGGAAGTCTGAAAGGACAGATTCCAATACTGCATTTTCATTGTCTTTTGATGTGACAAAATCTTAATGTACAAAAATCTGACCAGAGAACCGTAAAAAATGGAGAGTAACAAGATTTAATCACATATTCTGCCATATCCCAGATCAAGCACAACCAGAAGGTGCCACACTGAGATAAACAGGTAGCACATGATAGATGGACAAACCAGGAGACAATCTAAGAAACCATAAAAGGATACAACTCTTAGTCCTCTTTCAATGGGGTCTGTCAGAAGGAGGCCCTGAGGAGCATAGATCTTCTCATTCTGTTCCTGAATGAACTTGGCAATTTTCTTTAGAACCTGGTAATAGAAAAGCACAGAAGTCACAGTTCCT